AATGAGTGGCAAGATTATGATCACCAATACACCTGACATTTTTTTGTTTGTTTGTTTTGTTTTTTAACTAAATTAAAGGACTGCAAAGATGAGGAAGATGAGTATATTGACGTACTCTCCAACATATTTGTCTTAGTATAGTAACCACATCTTGGGTGGCTTGCAGGTAAGCTAAATAACCAAGATATCAGTTTAATGGAATTATCTGTTAGTAATATACATTTTGTAAATAAGATGTTTTTTGCCTAATCTATATTTTCCACAAATTCCCTAGCTATAAGCATTATTCATATTACCCACCTCACAATTTTAAAACCAAAATAAATTAGCTTTCTGAAAGTATTTTTTCAGTGTTAATATGCTTACATATTAGTTCATTTTAAAATTCAAGAACATTTAAGAATTTTCAAATATTTTCATGATTATTGCATTACCTGGAAGCAGACCTAGAATACATTAAAACATTTGACACTTTATTTCATATTTGTCCAAATTGTTTCACTAGTTTTACTAAGAATTGTCTCATGAGCTCATAAAAAAACCTGGAAACTTATACTTCATATACTTTGTAGTTCTGACTGGAAAATTGAAAGAGAAATAACATGTGCTTCATTAATTTTCAATTTATAATGGAATATGAGCCAAAAAAGCCATCAGATACACGAAAAATAGAAGATTTATACTAATGGATGTTAAAACTTTCATATATATATATATATATATATATATGTAGGCATGTACTGGAAGATTAATTTTAATATGGTAGTTGCATCTGAAATGCAAACACCATAATGAGGAAAACACAAACTGAAAATGCAGAAAAACTCACATAGATGAACTTAGTATAACAGATCTAACATAAATTTCTGTGTCATAAGGATAAACTCTTTGAAATGTAAGGTACCATGCTAACAAATCACATTACACTTATTAGTCCTTATTAGCACCCTGACCCTTAGGTCTATTTGGTCATCCATGGACACAGGCAACAAAAAGAGGCTGGCTGGAACTGGAATTCAGCTGTCTTTCCTAAGAAACTGTGCCTTGTCCTGAGACTAGAAAACAAGTCATTTGGATAATGAGTTTCTCAGCACTACACATTGTGTATCAATGCACATTAAAGGCAATCATCACAGAGGAAACTGAGTGCAGTACTAACTAGAACCCTTTGTCACCAGAAAATTCTCATTACACCCAGAAGCTTGGTTTATATTTTTTAATATATTTTTCACAGTATCCCACCAAAGGACAAGCAAAGCAAATGTGGAGCTTGAATTACTGCACTGTTGTCCCCACCTTCTGTGCTTCAGTTTCAGAAGTAAAATTTCCATCCTTAGTCTTAAGTGTCTGACACAACTGGTATGAGTCTCATCAGTTGCAATGAAAAGAAAACTTATGACTGACCCATATAAGAAAAGAAAATTAATCTGAAAAGCAAAATTCTTTGTATTTTTCTCAGTCTCTTAACAAATGGACCAAGTGGTAATTGGACCAAGTGGTAAAAATGGACCAACAATTACCAAGTGGTAATTACAGGGAAGATTAAATGGTAAAACTATAATCAGAGACAAACTCTTCAGTGTATTTGATACACTATTAGCGCCAAAAAATAATGAATTCATAGAAAACAAGAGTGTCAAAAGTATATCCCCATGTATTTAGACCTTATTGTTTGCAGCAAAGGACTGCTGCTTACATGTTGGTTTTGGTTAATATAATTTTTTTTTCCAGAGCAGAAGCTAGCAGAGAAGTAGAGGCTGTCCACTTTAAAAATTTTTATTTCAAGGGAGGGAAGCCATCTTGAAGAAGCATTTTGATAAAACATGAACAATTCCTTCTCACCATCCTTCACTGTAGTCCAACTGTAAAGCTGGATCAAATAGCACTTTCCTGAAATAAAAATCAGCTCATAAAACGAACCTTATCTTTCTACTACCCAGCTGCTCACTCTTGAAAAGAGAAATAGAAGATAAAAATGCAATTCCATTCCCAAAATGTGGGTAAGAGGAAAAGATTTGCTTGACAGTCTTTAGACTATTCTAGGACAATATCTGTTTCTGATGATGCACAGCGTAGACCCAAGCCTCCCCTCGAACTCCAAGGATGCACACTGTGCCTCAGCACGAGGGGTGGAAGTGGAGCCTGGTGGGGTAAAGAAAGACAGTACAATGCAGAGGACTCTGCACTTGATCCAAATTCCAAATTATGAGAAATAAGCCCATCTGTAATACTAATTACTGCCAACACCTTCCACAGAACAGTTAAGTGGAAAATATCACGGCAAGTGAAATAATTGTTATTTCCATGTCTTTACACTGAGAATCCATGCAGATACATTTATGATAAAAGCCCTTACAGACAAATGGGAAGTCAATGTCACCTGTGATCTCTGATTTACTCAGATCTATCAGGATAAAATTATCCTGAGTACCCTTTGTTGAAAAAAAGTTACTCCTTCATTGAATTCAGATACTGTGACAAGAAGAGATTGCATGAACAAGTAGCTGATCTTTGAATTATCAGAATTTATGTCCTGGACCATAGACAACAACTTAAATAACAAGCAAGTTGATAAAATCATCTATTTAATATTTTGTGAGTTATAGAAAGCAACAAAGAAGCATGATAACAATGAAAAATTATCAGGGTTGTCCAATGTTGTTGTGAATTTTCAGCTTTCATCTCATTTTGTACTTTTCTAATTGTTCTAACACAGGACACCAGCCTTTTGGTACAATAATGAGAAGTGCACCTGGGAACTAGCAGATGCACACAGTAACTCTACAACTCACTAACAGAGTAGAACTCTGCTGCTGTTAATATATATTTATGCTGCAGGACAGACAAAAGGCCTCAGCTGGGTCCTATGTCCCATTGTGCTGCACATTGTGGAAACACAAAAGGGAACAAAGTCCAAGACCCAAAGGGCTTGCAGTGTAAAAAGATAAGTGATATAGTGAAGAGAAAAGCAATAGGATGCAATCAAAATAGACTGACTTTTTAAATACCTACATGCATTTGTCATCCCTTCAAGCTGCCAAGAGAGAAGAATAATCCTGACCTGCTTCCTCAAATCTACTGTACTCTGTTTAAATATTACTTGCAATGTTAATTGATGCCTGGTTAAGATTCTCCTTTAAAAAAAAATCCAAAAAACAGTTTCAAACCAATTATATTTCCCTGGATTTTACAACAGCATGCAATTAGAAAGAATAAAATAAAATTAAGTGAAAAGTGAAATAGAACTACCAGTGAGAATGAGAAACACAGTGAGAATGTAGTTATTCTAAGTGAGAATTTAGTTATTCTTGCCCTTGACAATTGTTGGACATATTTTCATACAGACACAGATAATGTCCTTTAATTCCACTTGAGGAGTCTATTCCTGTCAGTTAAACATTATCTAAAGGTCCCTATGGAGGTGTTCGTTTAAAGCTGATGCTGGCACAGTTTTTCACTCTTTTCTAGCCATCTGGTCATATACTGAATTTTCAGCTATTTTATCTAAACCCAAAAGAAGGCTGAAGAAATAAACAAAAATACCAACAACAACAAAAAAAATCTTAGGGTTCAAAGTGACCATAACAATCAAGCCTAAAGTTATGATTTCTTCTTACTCAAAAAATTCACATGAAAGATACTTAATAAAAAAAATACAAAATCTCAAAAGGTTGCAACTTGAGGCTATTTTGAAACCCCTCTCCCTCCCCAGCCCATACGCAGAGCTGTAAACACACTGAGCATTTGTATTGCCCCCTCTTCCCCCACCCCACTCTCCGAAACAATTGATAGAAAATATACATATCCATTCCTTTACATTTAAGACTTAGCATCCCAGAGACTGGCAATCAAAATTATTTTGCATGACATTCCATAAAACCTTTTAAGATCAATTTTTAAACGCTGATGCCTCAGTCCTACGCTTTCTCTGCATTCTGACTTAAACAACAGAATGTGGAAGCTGACTGTCTCATTAAAGCACCCATATAAGAGAACTTGCTACAGTTCTGTACAAATAGAAAAGAGTCCCACTACATTAAAATGAAACCGAATTAGCTTAGCAAACCTCTTTTTTCCTCATGGTCTTCTCTCTTCTCTGTGCAACGTTGTTCCATCTTACACACACACTTAGATGTGCCATAAGTGCTTCTTTTAAAGTGCATAAAAGCTATCCACAGCTCTCCTAAGAATGAAACTGTTTTAATATTTTCTGATCCATGTTCCTGCCACAAACATTCACCGGCAGTATGATAGCTCCAAGAGGAGACATCTGATTCTTGACATTTAAAGATACAATACTGGTGAAAAATAGTGACGCTGTATTAACTGCAAACAGCTTGTGAGGGAGTAGGTGATGTACTCCTAAAATGTATAATCAGAACAAGCAATAATTTCAACCTTTTGATTTTTTTATTTTTGACTCAGAGCCATAAAAAAGAGGAATAGCCTGATAAACAAATCTGGACATGTTACAATAACTGTTTTAATAGAATTTATATTCTATGGCAAAAAGAAAAGTAGGTTGATTTCCTGCTGAAGAAAGTATTAAGGTACCCCATAGTTTCTCAAAAGGGTCTCAAAAGCTTTCTTAAAAAATGAGCACTAAATGAAGGCAAAATTGAAATTACAGAAATCAAAGAATTTGTATCCTGGTAACATTCAGTTAATTGACATTGCAATGCTAAATGAAAGCACTAAAACATCAAATTCCCCATACCCCTACTGTGACAGCCTTATAAATTCAAAAGGTACACAGAAAGGTCTTATTTTTCCCACATGAAAAAAAATCCTGTTCTAACATGAACTGTTACTTTGAAATATTGAATTCTGGAAAAAAAAAAAAAAAAGCTGATATATTTTTAATTTTAGTAGTAGAACCCCTTGTTTGGTGATCAGTGACCTATGGGGAAAGTTGAGACATCAGAGCAAACCTCCATCCCCCACAAACACCTGAGACAAGGCAGAGCACAGTTAACAGTAACCAGCTCTCCACACTGTACCTGGAGGTACTGACATGACCGTTCCTGCTGACACGTCTCTGCCTTCACCACTGTCTGGTCCATGTTAACTGATGCTTTCTGGTAAACTTCACGGGCTCTGCTCACGGTTAATGTAGAGGACCAAGAGCTTTTCTTCATTAACTGGGAGTCCAAATTCACAGGCAGGTTTGCACAGGTAGAGCATTTGACATCATTATTGCTTCTGGAGGACTTCACAGTATGCTCGCTAATAGTGTTATAGGCTTCCATAAAGTATTGGGAAGAAGAGCGATCAGGGCATCTTCCCATGGTCATGACCCCACTGGGACCATGATAAATGCAAACATCATTGTCCAAGTTGTCATCTGAACTCCACCATCCTGATGCATTGGATCTGGGCTTACCTTCTGATCGCCTTTCCTTACTCTTGCTGCGCTTCCCATACCTCATCGTCTGTGACTCCTCCGGGCTTGCTTTCCCCCCATTGACGCTCCCCTTGGATGGTCCTTCCAGCGAGTGGGACTTGGTGAAGAGCTTTTGGACAGAATGAACCAGGTGCCGGATCCTGCCCGGGCTGTCACTGCGGTGCTCCATGGCAGTTCGCTTGTACTGCAGAGTGTGGTACCCATCCCGATTCAGGGGCAGCTGCCGCTCAAACTGGTCCAAAAGGTTGGCAGGAATGCGGTTGGTCTTGTTGGCAGTTCCGTGGGGAACCAGAGCACACTCGTCCTTGAGTTCGTGGTGGGAGCTGTAATGCCTCCGGGGAAACGTGCTGCTGGCAATCTGATCATTGTAGGGCACCATGCACTCGGCCTGGAAAGAGTTCCTTTGAGTGTAGTAAGGGTGGTCTGCGGGGTGGGGGTCCACTGGGTTTAACAAATATGGCTTCCTGTCCTGGTGGTGTGGCAGGCTGTCACAGGCAGGGTCACAGCCAACCCCGTGATGGTGACTGCGGCTGCCAGATAATCCCTTCATCGCTGATGGAAAACGAGTCCCAAAGTCATCTAATACGTATGGCTGTGCGACAGGCAGAACTCAGAGAAAGGCCTAAAAGAAAGAAATACAACAGAAAATGTAAGATATTCAAGCTGAGAGAATAAACAGCATGTGCACAATTAATATTTGGTTTTTTATTGCAAAAGTAACAGAAATAAAAACTCTCAGACTCTTTTTATCCTTTAATCTTTTCCATGTCCAACATGGTGATAAAGATACCTAAACAGTACACAATAAAAATTATCATGTGCCATTAGCTGCAAACAGATGCAAAACAATGTTTCCAATATGAAAAGCAAGATAGATATTGTCACCTCTACGCTAAAACTCAGTCCTGAAAACATTCATGGACAGGGACATCCCAGGATACCTTAACTGCCCAACTGCATATTTTCAAGGCCAAATGGACACATTGAAAAAGATATTTTCTTTAATGGAGCACTTTCTGGGTTTCTTTGGGCCAAACACAAAGCATGGTGCAATTAATGGGAAACCTTTCTCTAACTTCAATGAATTTTTTTTACTCAATCTCCATGTCATCTACCTGGACTGTAATCATCTCAAGGCAACAGCAAAACATTATTTCTGTAAGTTCTTTTCAAATTAAGAGTAAAATAACAATAAATTACACTAACTGTCAAAACAAAGCCAAACCAACTATTTAACATCCTATATATCTGTGAGGTTTGTATTTACTATTTTCTGGCTCCTACTCACTAAAATACCCCATTTTATTCTGCTAATGCACAGCTTGATTTATTTCTCAATAATTTTTCATTATTCTAAGCAGTGTTTATATATCCCTACATACTCCTACCATTAAAAGAACTGGGATAGCCAAACCTTACACACAACAACAGTTAATAACAATAACACTTAATTCTTGATTGCAGTTATTTGTCCCTGAAGTGACTCGCAATGCTGTAGAATATGTATCACAAGAAATTGAAAGCGGAAATCTTCATCCCAAGTGATATAATAACCACTGTGTTTGAGGCCAGATGCCCTCATTTCAGCCGTCAATGCTACCAAAAGTCTGGATGCAACCTATGAGCTACCAAAGTGTATATTATGAGGTTACAGGTGTGGAAAGCAGTCTCATGGTGCCATCTGAGAAGCTGAAGGGCAGAGGACTCCTTAGAGGATGTTTTCTTACACTGCACTTTAATGGGTGTCACTCAGCTACTTTACTCCTTTCTGGCACAGCTAATCACATAAATACTTTTGGAAATGTAGCTCTTGAGATCTTTCTTGGAGTAAGGATAAACATACACAGCAAGCAGGTTTCCACTATGCTCCTCCAGAACTCTCTCAGCTAAAGTTCATGTTTTAACAGGCTGTGGACATTGTACCCATTGGCAAATTGGTAACAATGAAGTTTTCCAAAATAGCATTAAGTTAACGCCAGTCTGGAAAAGCATGCTCTGCACTTCATCTGAACTTATATTTTCTTGTGAATCTGCAGCAAGCCAAACAGGAGGTTTTTTTCAGTATGCTTCAAAGCTAATCTGGACATCCTGCATTTTATTACCCCTCACTGGATCCCTGCAATGCAGAAAATGTTCCTTTTCAGGACACCTTGAATTTAAAAAAAAGTTTTCAAAATACCACAAAAGGTTCTTGAAATATCCCAAATGGATAAGCTGACTGATTTACCTAAAGAGGAAAATGGCTAAAGGCACCTTTAAAAGCATGAAAATAATATATTCAGGGAGCTATACTTGTCAATTACACCGTAGTGACAATCCTTAGCACTTCTAAAAAGAATTTTACATCCCTACCATAGTTTTAAAAAATGATCTATTAGTCTGTGTAATTGAGAAACATCCAAAGGGATGTAGTAGCAGATTAATTAGTAATAGAAAATGTGACTTGAACAAAGACCCCATCAAGCAGAGTACTTCTAAATGATATAGAGACCAAATAAAAAAAATAGTCTAATCTTTGAATATCTTTTGCATATCAAGGTTTATGAAAACAAAAATTCAGACAGTTTTTTTTTATAAATCCATTTGCAATCAAGCAACAGTCCTTAGGATGATGGATAAATTCTCTTAAGGCTAAAAATAGACTAGTGTGCTATAAAAGATAAAAAAAATATTAAACCTTGCCTCAAAGATATGAGAAAAATGTGCAAGAGTACCACTAACTGGGACATGCCCTAAAACAGCAATTTATTTTCATTTTTTCCCTATCTGAATGGCTATGAAATTTTCATATACTGTGGAAAAAAGTAAATGTAGGCAAAGAACCAAAAGTACCAATAATTCACAGCATAGTAAAGTCGTGACAGGCACAGGGGATATAATGGAATTATTGAGAAAATGTAGCTTTAATATACTGATACAGAAAATGGCTGGGATCAGGAATCACTTGATCTGGTTTATAGACTGGGACAGAATATTGTGGAAAACCTTGAAACTAAAAACAAGCTTAAAAGATGGAGCTATGGCTTGACCAATGAGAAGAGCCATGTTACCAGCTGTGTTTTGGATGGACGGGCAATATGGATGTTAAGGAGGATGTGCAAAAAGTGGTAAAAAGTGAAAAAGCTTATGAAAAGTGACATTTGTCTGTATAGAGAGAAAACGACAGGCTTTCAAAAAAATTGTGGAGGAAGATTGGCTAAGGACTGCTATATGAGCTTGGATGGCAAGTAGGATGGAAATGTTTAGGAGAGAAAATACATGTATTTTGAGTCTCAGCTGTCAGTGGATCTTTTATGAGGAAGTACTGCATAAAAAAGTAGAAGATAGATAGGATGATCTGCCCAAAAGGAATCAGATGAACAGATAAGAAGAGTAACAGAGAAAATGCTTGTGAAAGCAAAAGATCATAGATTTATGAAAAATCAGATTTAAAAGAGGTGGAAAAAAAAGAAGAAACAAACAGAGAGTGATAGAAAAATCAAGCCAAAACCAAAAGGGAGAAACCAACCCGTGTAACAAAAAGGAGTGGTGTTAATTTATTCCCAGATTCTAAACTGCTGGATGCATTAAGAGAAGTTTTTTTTTTTTTTTTTTTTGTGGTGAAACAGCACTTAAACATTTATTTTATCATGAAAATTGTGATTAAATATTCCCACATAAGCATTTACTAGAATATAGCTTCATTTTACCTTAACTGTATTATTGCTGCCAGAGCACTGAAAGAGCAATGAACTAGGAAAAAACCCAATCATGTACCATAGTGCACCTTCCAGGAAGGAAAGAATAAGTATTGAAGAAAGTAGTGTTGCTTTTCTTAAATATTTAGTGGACAATTATTCTGCACAAATTCACTCTAAACACAAAACCTAAACGACTCTCACACCTCAATCCTGTTTTAATACATTAATATATGTCTAGGAAAAATTTCTGTCCTACAGTCTCTGATTTCATCAGTATTCTTCTGAGAATATGCATCATATTCCATAATTGTGTTATCTGAACCTATACTTCAATGTTTAGTGCAATTAGCAGCTGGAGACAGGGCTGTCTGTTCATGCAATGAGTAGTGATAAGAAGCCAATTAAGGATGTTGTTTTATTGGTATGTTTTGGTCAAAACAAGAACACTTAATTATTCATGGAATAGGGCAAGGCAATTGATGAACACATTAATAATCAGTGCAAATAGCAGTTCTATAGACAGCAGACCAAAACTACTTGATGGCATAGGAATAAAGGAGATGTTAAAGAGATACAGCATTTTAAGGATGAAGAACCCTTACTACTTTCAACATTCATGTTACATTTGCTTTTGTTTTCTTGAGGATGCCCTTGATAAGAATAATACAAATATATTAATCCTTGTCCCTAATGTGATGTCCCTAATGCATAACAATTTCCTGGAATAACCTAGTGGCTAGAAAAACACCTATTTAAATCCTATGTAATTAAAATTAAAATAAATGCAAAATAACAAAACCTGAATGTAGAAATCACCTTATTCTTTTACAAATTTCATTTAACTATATTGTCTACTCATGTGTTCCAAATTTACTCATAAAGCACATCTTTGAGGAATATATTCTTTCCCTTAGATATATGTTCAACCTTCTGTCTTAGAAAAGATTTACTGATATGCCCTTGAGCCCCTCCAGCTTCATCCAACAAGACTGCAGAATATTCTGGGGCAGAGGAAGGACTCCTCTTCTTGAGCAGCAGCACTCCTTGTCTCCCTGTTCCACTTAGAGGTGGAAGAGGTAGACCAAAGGAAGGAGGGAGGGGTGGGAGGATGGTGTTTTACTTTTCATTATCCTCTTCTGATTTTGACCGGTAATAAATTCATTTAGCTTCCCCAAGCTGAATCTGTTTTCACTGTTACCCATTGTGGTAATTGGTTTGTGATCTCTCCCTGTCCTTATCTCAACTCATGAGACTTTTGTTTTTTTTCTCCCCAGTCCAGTCATGGAGGGGAGTGATAGAATGACTTTAGTGGGCACCTGACATCCTGCCAGGGTCAATACCCCACAGGCTGATGGACTTGTGGTTGCCTGGGTGCTCCTTCTTGCCCCTTTTTGGAGGCAGGGATAACCTTTGCTTTCCTCTAATCCTCAGATACCTCTACTGACTGCCATGACCTTTTAAGATGATTGAGAGTGGTCTGGCAATGATGTTCACCAGTTCTCTCAACACTCTTGGCTGCATCACATTCCATCAGGGTCCACGGACTTTCTGGATGTAAAGTTTTACTCCATGGTCGCTAACCCAATCCTCCTCAACCATGGGGAAGTCTTCTTTTTCCAACAGAGAAGTCACCAACAGAGACACCCTAATTAGGCATAATAACAGCCACAGAACCATGGGTCTAATATCTTTGTCTGCTCAGAGACCAAGGAGTGAGTGATGTTGATTTTTTTTATTATTGTTTGGTGAGTGTGGTTCTTCTAAGATACCATTCAAAGAGTCAGATGACACTTCCAAATCTTCAGGTGTCTGCCAGGTCCAGAAATTGAAGCACTGGGACAGAGGTGGAAGACATAATGTGCAAACATGTAATGCATTCACTTGTATGTTCAACTCTGAGTGAGGAGGGCATTTAATCATATGCACAAATTGAACCAATGAT